GGTGCCACACGCCGGCACGACGCGCGAAGTCGAAAAATGCACGGGGAATGGACGTACGAGCGACGGCGAGCCTCGGTCTCCTCCTCGGCCTCGCACTCAGTGGAGCGTGCGGGTGGGGCGTTTCTGTTGCCTTTGGGGCTCTGCTGCAGGCGGCAGCGCACGGACCTGTTTCTGCAGCTCTATGCTGCCCATGTGACGGGGCCTCTCGGTGTTGAGGTTCACCGACGGCCGACCTGTTCTTGAATGGTACCCTCCTGACGAAAACCACGACGTCGGGGGTCTGGGTCTTCCTCCCGTCCTCCTCCACCGCCTCGTGCTCGGCATCCTTCTCGTCCGCTTCCTCCTCGCACCCCCCTCTGGTGCTCCTCCCTCGTCTACCGGCTCGTGCTCCTACACATTGTGTCGTCGTGCGCTTCCCCTCCTCCCTCTCTTCTGTGTCTCGGGCCCCCCACGCTCCGCTCCCTTTCCCTTCCCCTCTCCCCCTCCTCAGAGAGGGCGGGGGGGTTACGGGAGATGATGACGACGAAGGGCCCGACGATATACCCATATCCACCGCCTGCCGAGGCCCCCGCGGCGGCAATGGATGGTTCCCCGCCTCGGAAGATCAAGAAGGGGGGGAAGGGGAGAAAAACAAGGGCTGCGGAGAGAGAGAGAGAGAGTGAGAGAGAGAGGCAGCCTCCTCCTTCTCCTCTTCCTCCTCCTCCCGTCCTCCTCTCCCATACTCATCCCCCCGCTCTCCTCTCCCCCACCCCACCCCCCCTCCCTCCCCCTCGCTCGCTCGGTCGCTCGCTCGGGCCGCTTGTCTCCTCAAACCCTCTCGGAGGTCCCCTCCTCCTCCTCCCCTCCTCCTCCTCCTCCTCCTCCTCCTCCTCCTCCCCTCCTCCTCCTCCTCCCCTCCTCCTCCTCCTCCTTGTCCTCCTTCTCCTCCTCCTCCTACTCCTCTCCTCCTCCCATTCCTCCTCCTCCTCCTCCTCCTCCTCCACGCCGATATCCGGAACATTGTCCGTGAACATCCTAGTGGACGTCCCGAGTCACACCGCAGGAGCAAGAGGAGGAGGAGAGGTGTCGAGGATGACGGGGAGGAGGACGGCGACGCCGCCGACGGTCCCCAGAGGTCTCAGGGTGTCTCCCGCGTTCTGGTACGTCCAAACCCGCACAACAACGTGCAAAGTCGACGACGATGACGGCGAAGCCGGTCGCGGATGTAGCGGCGGTGGCGGCCAGAGCCCGCACGCTGGATGAGCGCTGGCGGGAGCCCAAGGCCATGGGCGATCGCGGCGACGAAAGCGACCAAGATGGCCCAACATGATTCACAAACCTCGATCCTCGCCCTTGATCCATCATTCTCCCCGTCGATCGTAGACGACTGCGACGACGTTGGCGGCGACAACGACGACCACGACCACAACCACGACGACCACGGCGACGACGACCACACCTCCACAACCCTCCCACTCCTCCGGACCTCCAATCCAGGAAATGCGCGCGGACCCTTGCAGGTTTGTGCGCACAGTCGGGAACCTTTGATCAGCGTGTCGCTGTGTGAATTTAAATACAGACATACGTGGGTGATCTGTGTGTATAGATGAATATATACATAATACATATATATATATATACACATGGACACTTGCGCGTACATGCGTATGTATATGTGTGTGCTTCCGTACACACATACATACCTACAAACAGTTCGCCAGTGCTGACCAAACAAGTATCGCTAATGCTGTACCATGCAAACGCGCACACGTTTGACTATTCATCAAGCCTTGATTGGTTCAAGGCTAGTTCTTCCCCGTGAGATGTGACATCGTACGTATAGCTGCATGGAGTCCCGGACTCCAAGTTGCATCCCCACCGATCTGATCCTCTATAGCTCTTGCGCAATGCAGTTGCAATCGCAACCAGGGAAAGGCATCGGCATGATGGCCATCGACGTTATCCGAGAGGGTGAGGTCGTGGTCAGAGAGAAACCAGTGCTGTGGCGTGACGAGGCCGATCGGTCCAGCAACCAGTTGAGTACCCAGTTCGAGCGCTTGAGACCACATGTAGGCACTGCTGTAATGGATCTCTTTGATAACAGGGCGGCTGTGATGGAGATGCTCGACCCCCTGCAAAATCATAAGACGATTGACGGCGTCTTCGAAACAAATTGTTACAAGACCATGGACGGCGATTCAGTCTCACGATTATTTCTTTTGTTTTCGCGCTTCAACCACGACTGCACGCCGAATTGCGCCTACCGATATGATGAAGAGGCTTCGACGTCCATTATCACCGCCGTGCGCCAGATCAATGCCGCGGAGGAGTTAACAGTCTCGTACGGGGTCGACGCAGTCCTTGCCTCCACAATATCCCGGAAACGTTTTTTTGAAAACTGGGGCTTTGAGTGCTCCTGCAGCGCATGTGTCGCTTGCGATTCTGCATCGGACGGCCGGAGAGTGGAATTGGACCACCAGTTGAGTACGTTCAGCGCGCGTGGTGGCCCACGCAGCATGGATGATGAACAAGCGCATGAAGACATGTTTGGGTTGTTTGTTGCCGAGATGTTGACGCTTCCGTTAGGGGACCACGTTCGAACCCCACCCCTACCCCCCACGATTTCTGAGGGGGAGGGTGGGGTTCACTTCGTTCGGGAGCTCCCGAGCGAAGTGAGCCCCACCCTCCCCCTCAGAAATCGTGGGGGGTAGGGGTAGGGTTCGCACGTGGTCCCCTATCCGTCTTTGCAGGCTAACATATCTGAAAAGATGCTCAGGGTAATCATGAAGCAGATTGCCAATTCCGGTGTGACTCGTGAGGCTGGGCTGCCCCTGTCTCTTAAGTGGTTCGCGCGCGTGCAGAGGTACATGCCTTTGGCGGTGGGTGCAGAGTCGGAAAGGTTCAAGCTCTTCCAGGCAGAATTCTGCGAGCTCGCTGATCTGTCCTAGACTTTTTCGCGGCAATTTCATCATCTTCGCAGAGCCTGGATCACGAATCATCTTTCGGACTTGCTGTCCATAATTTTCTATGTGTTGTGCGGGGCTGGCACCGTTTTGCTGACTTTGCGTCGCGAAGATGTGTTGGGTGTGTTCTGCACAGAACAATGAGCACTGCATCATTATCGACTAGCCACAGCTGGTTTGAACCCGCATCGGCATCCTGCTCGAAATTTTGACAGCGCGTTTCAACAACATGTTTGGTGTCGTCGGCATCCAGCGGAAGTTCTCAGTTTTCCTTAGTCAGTCTTGGTTGCAAATCAAGCAAATGAAGCTGTGCGGGCACCTAAACGGAAAGCTATCGACTCCGATGCAAATTTCGGCACGGATCTGACTCATCTGGCCTGAGAGGCTTCCGGCCGGGGGTGACGATTAGGGAGGACGGATATCACAGGGGAGCCATGAAATCTTCCAGGCATCATGGCCGACTCTTCTTCTTCTTCTTCTTCTTCTTCTTTTTCTTCTTCTTCTTCTTTCAACGCATCTCCCAGCTCCCACTCGTCCGCACCGTGGCCCCCGTTCTTGGCGCACCCGAGGGGCCCGTTGCTCCGTTGTGCCAAGAGGTTCGGGGGTGGACAGAGCCCCCTCCCTGACACGTCGATGAGTGAATTGTCCGTTCTCGGTTCTCGAGAAGGCGCCGCGGCCGTCATCTTCCAGGCTTGCGCCCGCCAGGTTTGGGCCCGAGGTCGTTTTCACTAAACCACGTTTTGCTAAAGGGGGCTCTGTCCATCCCAGAGGTCTCCCAGGGGCACGTTTGGGAAGGCTGCGGGTCCTTGAGATGTGGGTTTCCAGGAGGCTTCGCCGGGGCCTCTAAGAAGCCTCGTGGCGGGTCGCATTGGAGACCTGTCGGGGCCACCTTGGAGGCACATTTAGCCTCGGGGGCCCTCTTGGTGCGATCTTTGGGGTCTCGCGTGCCGCCCTGGCCGCTAGCAGGGCTGACGAGGCGAGAGCGAGAGATCCAGGGCCGACCTCCAGGGCCGTCAAGGCCGCCCTCGAGGACCCGGGGACGGGCTCGCGGGGTCATCTCGGCAGCAAGCTGGGGGTTCTGGACTCTCAGCCAAGGCGTTGGACCAGAAGTCGCGCAGCAAGCCCAGGAGGGAGCGCCCGGGGGCGTGCCCAGGAGCGCTCCTGAGCGGAGGGGGGTCCGAGGGGGCGGGGGTCGGCATCGGGGCCGCACCAGTGCCTCGTCGTGTCTGCGTCAGAATGTAGCGTCATGCTCGCGCAGCGAACTCCTGTGAGGGATGCCGCCTAGAAAGGAGGGGTGGCGACGTGCATGTCTCTCTCTCTCTCTCTCTTTCTGAGCCGACTCGTTCCTTCACAGTTTGCCCGCGAGAAGGTCAAGACGCAGCTGAAGATCACGGCTGCCACTTCTGCATCATTTGTTGCATGTGTTGCCACCTTGTTCCCCGCGATTTCGTGATTTGTTCCTCTTCCTCCTCCTCCTCCTCCTCTCTCCTCCTCCTCCTCCTCCTCCTCCTCCTCCTCCTCTCCTCCTCCTCCTCCTCCTCCTCCTCCTCCTCCTCCTCCTCCTCCAGCCGTTTGGGCCCCGACCGTCCGAGGTGCTGAGGCGCACCACGGGCTTTTGTGGCCCCGACAATCTCCACGCGGTTTCGGCTGGGATCGACAGTCCCCGAGGCGGGATCCAGATCACAAATAGTCGGTAGCAAAACGATGGGCAAGAGCAAGCGCTCTCGCATCGCGAAGAAGCAGCAGGAGGTGCAGCCTGGGGACCCATGGCCGCCGCTCCCGCTCCGTCCTGGGCCTCAGCAGGCCGCGCCGCGGGGGAGCGGCATCGGGTGGGCGCCATGGCACGTGCCTCAGACGTGGTTCGTGCCGCCGCCGCCGCCCATGCCTGGGGCTGTGCGGCACCTGCGTGAGTCTCCCCAGGCTCAGGACACCAAGGTGAAGTGTTCGGCGTGTCTGCGCTGGGCCTGGACCAGTAAGTTGGCGATGTATAAGAATACGTGCCTCTGCGGGGCGCCTTTCAGCAACCTTCCGCCGCCCGAGGCCGACGAGGGCGGTGGCGGGCCCAAGCATGGCAAGGGCAAGGGCAAGGGGAAGGACCTGGGCGCGTTGGAGGCGCAGCTCGAGGCGGTCATCAAGGCGCGCGGCGGCACCGAGCAGGCGAAGGCGGCCCAGGCGCTGCTGGACGCCACTCGGGCCGCTGGCAAGAAGACGGACACGGCGCTGCCGATCACGCAGCAGGTGACGGCGGCGGCGTCGAAGGTGCAACGGGCTCAGTCGGCCTTCGACAAGGCCCAGGCTCAGCAGTTGAAGTTGACCAAGGAATTGGAGAAGTGTAAGAAGACGCTCCTGGATGCGGCGCAGACGTTGGCACAGGCTGAGGCGGAGAGGGCCACCCTGTTCCGCTCCATGGTGCCGACGGACACGGGCGGTGGCGCCCAGGCGAGCAACACCATCGATTTGTCGGCGCTGTTGTCGGCGCAGTCGGTGGACGACTCGCTGTTCTCCATCTCTCTGGGCGCGGAGTTCAATAATGAGGACGGGCTCATTGAGCAAAAGGATTTGGAAGAGCTGGATCGTCGGAAAAAGGCTGTCATGGAGGCGCTGATGCACACCTTGCGGGCCACTTTCGGCGAGGCTCACGAGAAGCTCAAGGAGCATCGCGACAACCTGTCGGCGATGCGCGAGAAGGTCGCCAAGCGGCGCAGGGAGCACTCGCCTGGGCCACCTCCGGTGGCGGAGGCGACGGGCGATGGCCCTGCGCCTACGGCGGCCTCGGCCGACCAGGCAGCCTCGGGCGCAGCCACCAGCTCGGCGGCAGGCGGCTCTGCGGGCGACGGAGGCGAGCCCGACGCTGTGGAGGCGGCGCGCCTGGCTGCTCTGGAGAGCAAGCTCAAGGCGGACGCGGAGGCTATGCTGGCGACGGCGCGCTTGGCGGCGGCTACGGCTGGGCCGCCGAGCCTTTAGCCTCTCGGATCCCCTCGATCGTGGCGGGCCCGATGGTCGAGGGGCATGCCCGCCAGCTACGAGTTCGAGTTCGGCCCCTACAAGTGCTGGCGCTGCTGCGGACGCTCTGGCCACTGGGACCCCCTCACCCCCTTTCGTTGCAGCGCGTGGGCGTGAGCCCTGTCCGCAGTCGACGGTGTCGACTGTGGGGACCGCTGAAGGGGGGGAGGCGTGCGGTCTCGGTGGCCCCGCGGCTGTGGTGGCTTCGTCGTCTGGGACTTCCAGTTCGGGTACAGACCTGGCAACCGCAGGCCCCCCCCGCCGCTCTCCGAGCGGTCTCCAAGGGGTTAAAGGGGGGGAGCGCCTTCTCGGGGGCCAGGTCGGATCGGATGCAGTTGTGACCCGCCGTACGCTGTACATGCGGAACTTGGGTGGATGGGGACCTGCTGCGCGATCTGTTTGTCGAAGTCGTGCCGCTGATATCCTCGTGTTTCCTGAGACTCATGTTCCTGAGGCTGGATCATACGAGTTGTTGCATGATTGGCGCAAGGCAGGATGCATTGGCATGTTGTCTGCCGCCTACGAGCAGAACGGGAAGTCTCGTGCAGGTGGCATTACCATGGGCACTTTGAAGAAGTATAAGGTTCAGTCGATGCGGCATTTGGCGTCGTCGCCATCGGACCAGGTCGGGCTTCGTGACCTGGATCGGCGTCCAGAGGCCATGCCAGGCATCGGCTTCCGTGATATGGTGGCTATGCAGCTACGGGCCCAGGGCCAGTCGTTGTTGATCGTTGGTGTGTACATGACCTCTTCGATCGGGCCGAAGGCAAACGCTCCCAAGCTCGCTAACGTTGGCACTTTGGTTTCGACGGTTCAAGGGCCGTGGCTTGCCATCGGTGACTGGAATATGACCCCAAAAGAGTTAGCTGGTACGGGGTGGTTGGGTCTTGTGAATGGCAGTGTGATCGTTCCGTCTAACACTGAGTACACGTGCACGTTGGGTTCAGGGCGCATGTTGGATTATATCGTGGCTTCTCCGCATGCAATGCCATGGGTCGAGTCTCTCTTGGCGGACTTTCAGGCGGTGGAGGGGGCGGGCAAGGCCCATTATGGGCTCCAGCTCAGCCTCAACTTCGACGCCTGCCGTGCCAGAGCGTGGCTCATGAGGTTGCCGCGAGCTTTCCCACACCCTGCTCGGCCTAAGGTGTGCGCTGACCCTGATAGCAAGCGTTCGCGGAAGAAAGCGGAGCAGCAGGCGGACCGAGAAGCTCAACCCCAGCAGGGTGTCATGCCCGCTCCGTCGTCGTGGGGGCCGAGGCGCAAGCTGGCCATCAAGAGCCCGCCTCCGTTGCAGTACGCCCTTTTCGAGGAGGAGGATGACGAGTTTCTCACGGACGGGGAGGACACGGACGTCCCTGACGAGGATGATGATGTGCAGGTGGCCGTCTCTGATTCGGAAGTGGACACGCATGCTTCGATTCAGTTGGAGTGGTCGTCCGAGGCGAAGGACCTGTTGTGGCAGCAGGTGGCGCCCGCAGTTTCGCGTCGACCCGTTCCTGATTTTGTTCAGCAGTCGTTGGCGTTTCAGGCGGCCGAGGAGGAAGCTTATGACCTCGGGGATGCTTTCGCGTCTTGGGTCTCAACCATGGAGTTGTATTATCTTGAATTGTATAAGGTGGACCCCTTGGCGAGGAGGCAGTACCGTGGTCGTGACTCCTTGCGGGGCCCTCAGTTGGGAGTCTATGCTGGAAGTAAGCCTTACCCTACTGCCGCTGATCCCAGTGCTCGCTGGTGGGCCTCTGTGGCTAACCTGCTGGAGGAGTTGGTGGGCCAGAAGGGGGATAAGCGCAATCTCCCTCGGGCTCGGCATCTTCGTGACCAGCTCTCGCAGCTGGATGGCTCCATCCCGTCCACGCAGATCGTTCCCTTGCCTGCCCGTCGTCGTGATCGATGGCTTCGCGGTCTACGAACTCTGGATGGGGCGACCTCGGAGTCTCTGGCGACCTTCGCTGCTGGGGCGCGCAGGGCCTCGGACCAGGCCCTGCGCGCTGTCGCTCGGCAGCGTCACCACGCTTTTCGCGATTGGGTCCATCAGCAGGCTGTTCTGGGATGTGGCGCTCTGCATCGGTTTGTGCGTGACCCCACGGCCGAGGTCAGCGAGGTCAGAGTGCACGGCGATACGTCTTTGGATGCGGCCTCTGTGATGGAGGCCAAGGCGGCGCTCTGGAGTGCGATATGGACGCCATCCAACGTCGTCGACGACCAGGCGCTCCGCGTGCTGCAGCGGGCTCGGCGGCTGGCGCTTCAGGACGAGCTGGAGCCCCTCACTCTGGTCCAGCTGGAGGAGGCGCTCCGTGCTGTGCCACCTCGGAAGGCGCGCGGCATCGAGTCGGTCGGCCAGCGGGACGTCTGGTGGCTGCCTGAGTCTGGCCGCCGTGCGCTACTCGATTTGTTTCATTTGATCGAGGCCAAGGTTGCTTGGCCTTGGCAGTGGCTCACCGCTATCGTTGTTCTGCTTCGCAAACCTGATGTGCGCAAGGATCGCGCCATAGGCTTGCTCACCTGGTTGGGTCGTTTGTGGAGCCGCATGCGGTCTCGCCCTGCGGAAGTGTGGGCTGCGGCTCGCTCTGGTCCTTGGGACGCCGCAGTTCGAGGCAACAGCGCTCTACGAGAGGCTCTGCTCAGGTGCTATGCCGACGAGGCTGCGCTTGCCTCAGTCCTGCCTGAGTATTGCTCTGCCTCAGTTTTGTGGGATGTGGAAGCGTTCTATGACACCATTCGATGGGATCGCGTGGTCGACCATGCGATTGATCTTGATTTTCCTCCGCACCCCCTAGCCTTGGAGGGTATCCTTCACATGGGGCCTCGGCTTTTGAGGGACGAGGGGGTTTTTGCCCCGCCTATCATTCCGCACGGAGGGCTTGTGGCTGGAGCTCGTAGGGCCCCCGATTTCTCGAAATGCCAAATGTTCGAGATTTGTGAACGTGCGTGTGCCAGCAGTGCTCTTGTTTCCCTCCGTACGTGGATCGATGATGTCACCCAGCGTGCGGAAGGTCTTAAGCGAGATGTCATTCGTGAATTAATCCAAGCTGGGGCTGTTTTTGCCTCGGGCTGCGAACAGGAGCAGCTGAGGATTGCTAGCAAGTCGATTATTGTGGCGTCTGAGATTTCGGTGGCGCGGGCTATCCAAGCTGGCCTTGCACTGAAAGGCATCCAGGTCGATGTGGCCTCGGTTGCGGCGGATTTGGGCATTGAAAGGGGCAGTGGCGTTTCTGTCGCCAAGCCCCGCCACTCGAAGCGTCTCAGGCAAGCCACTCGTAGGGCGTGTCGTATCCATAAGTTAGCTGCTGTGGCCCCTCGGAAGATCGGGGCGCGTTTGATCCTCACTGGGGCTTTGCCGCAGGCGTCCTACGCCTGGAAGGTTTTTGGGGTCGCGCCCTCGGTCCTCCAGAAATGGCGACGGGCCTTAGCCAGCAGCTTAACTCGAGGCTTGGCGGGGCGATGTCTCACGACCCTGCTGGCCCTGGAAGTTAAAAAAAAGGACCCTGCTTTCACCGCGGTGTTTCAGCTTCTGGAGTCCTGGTTTCAGATTGTTGCTGCGCTGCCGGAAAAAGGAGTGGACCGCATGCGTGCCTGTTGGTCCGCCACGGTCGAGAGGATCGATAGCTTGGGCCCCCAGCGCAGGTGGCATAATATAAAAGGACCCGTGTCAGCTGTGGTCGCTACCATGACGGCCTCGGGATGGAAGCTCGATGGGCCTTGGTCTTGGGTCGCTCCTGGGGGTGATGTCTTCGCTGTTCCCGATGAGCTTCGATCCCAGGCTTGTATGACGTCGGATTTTAAAAAGGAAGTGGACCGTAGCATTGAGGCACGTTTATGGTCTGCTGCCGCCGAGTTCCGCAATGGAGGGGGTCTTGCATCAGGCGTCGACCTCACGATTGCCTGGCGGCACCTTGCGTCCTTGCGTAGGAAGTCGCCTCAGAAGGCTGGCTTGCTTAGGGCTGTCCTTACTGGGGCCGTTTGGACGAGGGGCCGTATTCAGGCTTCTGGGGGAGAGTGTGAGCTCACCTGCCCCCGTTGCAACTCGGCCCCCGAAACGGACGTCCACCGGTTCTGGGAATGCCCGTGCAACAGTGAATTTCAGGAAGTTGACGATGGGTTCGCGCGTAAGGCAGCCTCGGTGGCTGCCGATTTCCCATGTTTCTGGCTTCGCGGTCTCGTGCCCCGTGAGTGGACGTCCGTCCCTCCGCCTCCCGACGACCCCATCCTCTGTGCCGCTGGTGCGTTTCCTGGGCCTCGGGGGGGAACTCGCATCTGGGGCGCGGGGGATGCGAGTGGTGGGGAGTTCACGAAGGATAAGCGTCTCAGACGGGTGTCATGGGGTGTCGCGGTTTTTGGCCATGATGTTCTAACCCTGCCCCCACTGGTGTCGGATGCCGACATTCAGTTCATCCAAGGGGGCGGGATCTCTGGTAAGCAGTCTGTGAATCGTGGTGAGCTCTGGGCCCTTTTGGCTTTTCTGGAAGGAGCTCACCCCCAGGCGTGTCTTGGATACGTCGCGGACTCGGCCTATGTTGCGAGGGGTTTTGCTCGCATCCAGGCCGGCCTTTTGCAGCGAATTCAGACCCACGTTGATCTCTGGAGGCGTGTCCTGAGCGCTCTGGATCGTCTTGGGGATGTGGTTCTCATTCAGATTCCGAGTCACCTCAAGGTTGAGGAGGCCGTGCGCCGTGGATTAAATCCTGGCGTCGTGCTGGCGAATTCGGTGGCCGATGATGTTGCGAGCCACTTCGCCCAGCAGGTTCAGGTTCCATATGCTGTCTCGGCTCCCGTCAGGTTCGCTGATGGGTTAGCTCGGAAGGTGCAAAATCATTTGCTTGCTGTGATGTCAGATGTTTTGGAGCGTGAGGGCGGACGCCCTCCCCGCCCCCCTAAGGAGAAGGTTCGGAGAACGGCCCGCCAGCTCCTTCGCGCTGCGGCGGTGAAGTCCTCTCATAATTGCCCCTTGCTTTGTGGGGATTTCTCCCAGTGCCAGAGGTGCGGTTGCTCTTCAACCGCTCGTGACCTGACATCGTTTTTGAATTCGCAATGTACCCCTGTGGAATGGTCTGGTGCGGTCTTTCGACCGACGGCTGCTGTGTGTGTGCGCAGTCGGCTTGTGGACCCTTCCCATGCCTTGGCGTTCTGGCCTGAGGCGAATGTGCTGTGGTGTTTAACTTGTGGGGCGTATTCGACCCAGCACTTGAGGGACCTGGGCAAGGTCTGTTCGGGCCGCCTCGGGAAGGCGGGGGCCCAAAACCTTTCCAGGATCGCCCAGGGCATGGTCCCTGGGAGTTTGGTTTGGGGGAAGGAGCGGAGGGAGAGGGCTAGCGCGAGAGGCGGGGTGGGAGAGAGAGAGAGAGAGAGAGAGAGAGAGAGAGAGAGAGAGAGAGGAGAGAGAGAGAGAGAGAGAGAGAGAGAGAGCGAGAGAGCGGCGAGTGCGGCCCCGCGTGCTCGGCGCGCGGCGCCGTTCGGGTCTGCCGCGGTCGCGGCCGACGTCTTCGCGGCCGTGGCCGCCAACAGGCGCCGCCCCGCCTCTCTCCCCCCCGCCCGCGCGCCCCCCTCCGCCCCCTCTGGTCCCCCGCCAACCTCGGTGGCATAGGCTGCCATTGTGGTTGGCCCTTTTCTCTTGTCCTTGATCATCATGATCGCTCGCTAAAAAAAAAAAAAAAAAAAAAACTCCTCCTCCTCCCCCTCCTCCTCCTCCTTCTCCTCATCCTCCTCCCCCCCCCTCCTCCTCCTCCTCCCTCTCCTCCTCCTCCTCCTCCTCCTCCTCCTCCTTCCTCCTCCCCTCGTCGTCTCTCCCCCCTCCTCCTCCCTCCTCCTCCTCCTCCTCCCCTCCTCCTCTCCTCCCTCCTCCTCCTCCTCTCCTCCTCCTCCTCTCCTCCTCCCTCCTCCTCCTCCTCCTCCTCCTCCTCCTCTCCTCCTCCTCCTCCTCCTCCTCCTCCTCCTCCTCCTCCTCCTCCTCCTACTCCTACTCCTACTCCTAGTCCTACTCCTATCCTTATTCCTAATTAGAACATGCTCTTACTCCCCCCTCTGGCCGGCCGATAGCGGCCCCATCCGGGCGTTCCTATCTTGACTTTCTTGAAATCAATACAAAGTCGTCGGTTTTTCTGTCAACATAGCGTTTCTTGTCGTCGACGATACGAAATGCGTGGCAGGAATAGGACGCGGCCCACATCGCGCGCGGCCGTCAATCCAGGCCCTCCCGTCCTGACTGTAAAAAACCAATAATCCATACAGAGTCGTCGTTTTTTCTCTCTCAACATGGCCTGTCTTGTCGTCGACGATGCGAAATGCGTAGTTGGAATGGGACGTGGCGCACATCGCGCGCGTAATTACGTCTGGGGCAACCCCATGCGGGAGGGGCCATCCTACCTTTCGAATGCACATACCAAGTCGACATGTTTCTTCTCAGCGAGGGCTTTCTTGTCGTCGGCTTTGCGAAATGCGTGGCAGGAATGGGGGGCGGTGCGCATCGCGCGCGACAGGGTGAACTGTCGCTCCCGCTTCGGCGCCGCGCGCATGCTTTCTGAAAGTTGCGCTCCCGCTCAGGCGCGGCGCACATTTTTCGCTCGCCAATTCGTCGAGCGTCTAGGGCCACCTGGGGCCTCCCAGGGTCTCCTGGAACATCCTGGGGCTTCCCAGGGCTTCCCCAGGGCCTCGTGGATCCTCCTAGGGCCTCCTCAGGCATCCTGGGGATTCCTGAGATGCCCCAGGGCTCCCTGGCACCTCCTAGGGCTTCCTGGAGCTTTCTCGAGCCTCCTGGGGCTTCCTGGGCCCTCCTGAAGCTTCCTGGGTTTTCTGTGGGGTTTCCTGCAACCTCCTGGGGCCTCCTGAGGCTTCCTGGGGCCCGCTGGGGCTTCCTGCAACCTCCTGGGGCCTCCTGAGGCCTTCAGCTTCCTGAGGCCTCCTCGGCTCGTGCTGAAATGCCAGCGCAGTCTTTGAGACGCGCCAGGAATTTCTGATCGGTAACCGCCATCGCGACTGCATCAGCTGTGGCAAACCACCTTGCCGATCTGATTTCGGTCTCCAGTTGCGCCAGCACTGTTTCTTATGTTGTGGGAGGGCGGGTGGGAATGGGCATGCCATCCTTGACTTGCTCGAGCTGGCTAACTTGACTCCTACTCCTACTCCTACTCCTACTCCTACTCCTACTCCTTCTCCTCTCTTTCGCCCATCCTACGACAGGGGACTCGAAACCCTGGGTCCATTTGGCGGGCTTGTCCCGAAGTTTTCGGCCGCAACGGCCAATCCTGGGGCACTGCCATCGTAGCTCGTTCAGATTATGTACCACGCATGGGGTTCGGTCGCCCCACCTCCTCTTCCCCATCGAACCTCCAATCTTATCCTGATCCTTCGGATGACGCGGTCTGGTGGGTGGCTCTTCACGTCCCCGCTCTTGGCCCCAGCCTTCCCCCGCCCCCTGGGTCCAGCTCCTCTCCCTACTCCTGCTCCCGTCGCTCCGACTCCTGTTCCGACTCTCACCCCGACTCTCCGATTCCGGTTCCCGGACCCAGGCCCCGGCCCGCCCGCGTTGCCCTCGCAGGGCTGGTCCGGCGGACCAGCGGTGCGCGCTCGCTTGTTCGCCCCCGTGCCGTCCAAGCAAAGGGGAAGGAGGGGAACTGCCAGGGTCGTCGTCGTCGTCGTCGTCGTCGTCGTCGTCGTCGTCGTCGGAGGAGGAGGAGGAGGAGGAGGAGGAGGAGGAGGAGGAGAAGGCGGGGGGGAGGAGGAGGGAGGGAGGGGAGGGAGGGAGGGCGACGGAGGGAGGGAGGGAGGGAGGGAGGAAGGGAGGTAGGGAGGAGGAGGGGATGGAGGAGGAGGAGGAGGGAGAGGAGGATAGGATGAGGGAGGAGGAGGAGGAGGAGGAGGAGGAGGAGGAGGAGGAGGAGGAGGAGGAGGGAGGGAGGGAGGGAGGAGGGAGGGAGGGAGGAAAGGAGGGAGGAGGAGGGAGGGAGGAGGAGGGAGGGAGGAGGGAGGAGGAGGGGGCCGCGGCGTGCGGGCGGGGCCGGCGGGCGGGCGGGGCTGGGCGGGCGGGCGGTCGGGCGGGCGGGAGAGGAGGAGGAGGAGGAGGAGGAGGAGGGAGGAGGAGGGGAGGACGGGGACAGGAGGAGGAGGAGGGAGGAGAGGAGGGAGGGGGGAGGGGGGAGGGGGGAAGGGGGAGGGGCAAAGCTAGGTGCGCTCGCGTCATATCTGACGTCCTACCCCTCCTTCCCATCCCTTACCATGGCGCTGATTTTCTCTATCCGCGGACGCGTGTCGTAGCGGACCTGTGGCTCCGCGCGCGCGTGCGTTAGTGGGTGGTGGTGCACGTGCGTGCGTGCGTGCGTGTGTGCGTGGTTCGTGGTGGTGGTGGTGGTGGTGCTGGTGATGGTGTGGTGATGGTGTGGTGCTGGTGCTGTGCTGTGCTGGTGCTGGGGTTGTGCTGGTGCTGGTGCTGGTGCTGGTCGTGGTGGTGCTGGTGCTGGTGCTGGTGCTGGTGCTGGTGCTGGTGTGGTGGTGGTGGTGTGGTGGTGGTGGTTGGTGGTGGTGGTGGTGGGTGGTGTGGTGGTGGTGGGTGCGGCGCGGTGGTGGCGGGCGGATGGGCGCGCGAGAAAGAGGCCCGCGCTGGGGCGAGAACGCCATCCTGAACGACGGAGGCCAAACACCGATCCGAAAATGAGGCCCACGCTGCAGCGGGAGCACGATTCGGAACGATTCGGGAGCAGAAATGAGGCCGGCGCCTCAGCGAGAGCAGCATTTTTGAAAAAAACACAAGCGAAAACCCAACTCCGGGGAATCCTGTGTGTAAAAAAACAGTACGCGGGGGGGTGCCGAATATCTTCCGGACGCCATCAGGGGAAGTGGGAGAGTATTTTCATATTGTGTAACTGTGAGGAGGGGGAGGAGGGGGATGGAGGGGGGAGGAGGAGGGAGGAGGGAGGGAGGGAGGAGGGAGGAGGGAGGAGGGAGGAGGGAGGAGGGAGGAGGGAGGAGGGAGGAGGAAGGGAGGAGGAGGAGGGGAGGGAGGGAGGAGGGAGGAGGGAGGAGGGAGGAGGGAGGAGGAGGAGGAGGAGGGAGGAGGGAAGGAGGA